GACCTATAGTAGTGCTTCTGAAGGGGAGGGTGAGGTGAGGGGTTGATATGTAGCTGTTTCCTTGATTATTTGACTATTCTTAATTCTTTGTTTATCTGTATTTCTCTCTACTCCTTTCCCTCTCTTATTCTCTTTCTACCCCTCTCTCTTATATCTACCTCTCTCTCTCTCTCTCACACACTATCTTTATCTGTCTTTCTCTCTCTATAATTTCCCTACGTCTTCTCTCCTCTTTCTTTCACCTCTTCCTTTCATTCACCTCTCCACATTTCTCTCACTTTTCCCCTCCATCCCACTTACTCTCCAACACTCCATACCTCTCTATTTCACTCTCTCCTCCCTCTTTTTCACCTGTCCCTCTCACTCTTCCTCCTGTCCCTCTCCTGTCCCTCTCACTCTCTCCCCCCTCTCCCTTCCTCTCACTGCCACCCCTTCAGTTTTGCAATTACACAGAGTCAATATATTGATGGCGAGATGTCCATTAGTCTGTTTAGTTTATCAATCTATCGAGTTGATTGTTGATTTGAGCGGTAGAGGGGTTCTACTCCAGCCTGGTGTGTGTGCGTGCGTCTGTGTGCGTGCGTGCGTGTGCATGTATTGTGTATGTGTGCATGTGTGTGTATGTGTGTATGTGTGTGTATGTGTGTATGTGTGTAATAATAATAACGGTTTATTGAAAGAACATGGCAACCAACAGGCTAAGAATATACAGTTCCATGATATATTATAACAAGGGGAGGAGAAGGTCATTCAACGGGGAATGTCAACATAGGAACAGTGCCAAAGAAAATTGGATGGGAGTTAAATACGAGTCGTTTGATAAAGTTGTTTCCGTTGTGTGCATTGAGGAACATCAGGCAGGGGAAGCGTAGGTAGGCGTGAGAATTATGACTGTTGAGTAAGTACTGAGGAGCTCGGGCACTGGAACTCAGACTAGAGACGACGGAGGTGGAAAGTTGGAATATTTGACAGTTGCATTGAGGAGGAGGGAGGTGGGACATGGTCGGAGGAGAGGCTGATGTGCATAACCATATAACAGTGGTTTTGGTATGGTTGATGGTGACATGGTCGATGGTGGCCCAATTTTGGAGACTTTTCAATATATTCTGGAGGGTGCTGTAGTCGGGAGCAGGTTGCTCACAGTGATCCTAATGGTGGAGTCGTCGACATATTTCCAACGAGCAGAAGTTGCTTTAGGGCGTCATTGATAATTATGAGGAAGCAGAGCAGTTGGAAGCAGAAAGGTGGAGACAGCCCCTCGGAAGCGTACGGGTTAGCGTCGATCACTAAGGAAGTGTGTGAATAGCGAAAAGACTTCTCGAAACCGGGTCGATAGCTTTATTGATAACTAAATTGTAGTTGAAGTCAATGAAGGTGGCAGCCACAGACGTCTTGCGTTTTTCTAAATGGCAGTATAATTATGGTGTCGAGAAAGATGACAAGGCATGGGTGGTGGAGAAAGTTTTCATGCTGTCAAATTCCTGAGGATCTATGGCGCCTGCAATATCAGCATAAGCCCAGTCAAACACGAAACTTTCGCTGATTAAGCTGGGTATTGGGGTGGTGGCAATGATTCGTAGCTCATTTAAAGATTGTGGGCTCATTGATTTAGGCACTGGTGACACATACGAGGTCTTCCAGTCGGCTGACCATCTTGCTTGACTGAGGGAAGCATTGATGATGGAACAGAGGGGTTTAGCTAGTTCCGGGGAGAACCCCTTGTAGAGCATCATTGGTAAGTCAATGGGGGTGGTGGATCGCTTGATCCTGAGTTTGTTCAAACGTCTTGCTGCTTTAAATTTTTGTACTAAGTCAGTGGGAGACGGGGCTAGTAGGTAAACAGGGAGACAAGTTGTATCAAGCCGGGGGGAGCGTCTGGCATATAGTCGTAAAATGATTGTTAGTTTGTTCAGCTGCGTCACCATTAGTGAGATGGCTAAGGAAGGGGAGGGGTTGGTGTATCATTGTTTAAATCCCAGAGTTCCTTCAAGCTTACCATACAACTGATTGATGTGTGTATTAGTTACGAGAGTGGTAATTAGGAGAGGAGGGGGAGGAGGAGGAGGAGGAGGACCACCTTGAAGATCACGGTCACCAAACAAATTAAACTCAAACTTCCCCGATCAATAAAGAAACTAATGAATAAAGTTACATATCTTCAGAAACTTTTTGTTTTCATTGAATGTACCGAAGGGCTCGTCCGCCTGAGGAACTATTTGGGCCAGTGTAGATAGTGGAAGCTGAAGACATGGAATGAGACAGTATCCGCTTTACTTTCTTACTTTCATTTCTGGCACTGTACTCTTAATCCCTCTTATTTCTGGCACTGTGCCGTAACCTCTTTCATTTCTGGCTGTACCGTAACCTCTTTCATTTCTGGCACTGTACCGTAACCTCTTTCATTTCTGGCACTGTACCATAACCCTTTCATTTCTGGCACTACTCTCTTCCCTCTTTCATTTCTGGCACTGTACCGTAACCCCTTTCATTTCGGCACTATACTCTTAACCTCTTTCATTTCTGGCACTGTACCATAACCCCTTTCATTTGCAAGCACCACCACCCTTTCATTTTCTCAACCGTAAAGTTAGGCACCTTTGTACATCTGGGTCGACTAAGGGAAACCACACTCGAATCGGTGATCTTTGGGTCGGGGCAAGAGGTCGATGCTCACTCAGCCACCGCTCCCAATTTCCTCATTCACAAATTGGAAGACTAGTTGCCAGCCATTCCTCTACGAAGTCTTTCACCGGACAAACTGACCAACTCCAGGAAATAAAGACAAGATTAGCTTAGTCTCTCTCTCTCTCTCTCTCTCTCGTTCTTTTTCTTTATCTTATTTTGTCTTTCTCATCCGATTTCGTCTTCGTTATTTATTCTGTATCTCTTCGTATTCCCATTTATCTGTCAGTTTGCCTGTCTGTCTGTGTTTTTTTACGCCTCTTAATTTGTTTCTGTGTCAATCTGTCAATCTGTTTGTTAGATTATCTGCCGGTCTGTGTCTGTTTGTCTGTCAGTCTGTCTATCTGTCTGTCTGTCAGTTTGCTTCTCTGTGTCAGTTTATGTATCTGTTTGTCAGTTTGTTTCTGTTTGTCAGCCTCTACATTAAATGACTTTATTTGCGCGTTTTGTAAACTTTCCATAGCCACCTTAACAAACCAGTATATACTCCCGTGTACATGTCACTTCGGGTACTTTTTAATAACCAAGTCTCCGATTTTTTATTATTTTTGTGCTGCTAATTTACTCTACGAACTATAGAGCGAATCTGTTTGTTTGTAAGTACTCTCTTGTTTGTTTGTGTGAGAATGTACGAGCGTTTATTGTATTTGTTTGTGTGAGAATGAGTGTAATGTGAAAGATACTGTATTACGTTTGTTTGAGCTTGCGTGTTTGTGGTTGCTTGTGTGCGTGTGCGTTTGTGGTTGCTTGTTTGTGTGCACGTGTTTGTGGTTATTTGCTTATGTGTGTGTGTTTGTGTTTGTGCGTTTGTGTTTGCTTGTCTATGTGTGCGTGTTTGTGGTTATTTGTTTGTGGCTGCTTGTGTGTGTGTGTGTGTGTGTGTGTGTGTTTATGGTTATTTGTGTGCGTGATTGTGCTTGCCTGTTTGCCTGACAGAGGGCACCTTGCTGACTGTTGATATGTGTCAAGGTCTGCTTTATTGCGTGTTAGCACGAGCGCACGTATATATGTATGTGTTTTATAATTGCGTGTGTGTGTGTGCGTAGGTGGCCAGCGAGAATGTTTGTATGTATGTGTGTGTGTGTGTGTGCGCGGCGTGGCGTAGTGGGGTGGAGGGTGGGGCATGCGGGGTTCAACGCCAGTGGTGAGGTAGCCGTCGTGGTGGCCGCACAGCCAGCTGTCGCCTCCATGCTACCATGATGCCGCACTCGGGAGACACGCACAAGAACGGCTTCGTGCCTGGGGGAACCAAGGCGGACACCGCTGCCGCCCGCGACGCCACCCACCCCAGCGAACTACTCCCCCTCAACAAGGAGGACCCACCCGACGGAGGTGCTCAACACAACGACAGCGGCGAAGTGAGAGTGACCATCCACGAGAACCCCCTGCAGGACGCCGACACCTGGGGCAATACAGGGTCTCAACAGCAGCAGCAACAACAACAGCAGCAGGAGCAGCAGCAGCAGACACAACAGCAGTTGCAGCAGCCCCCTGGTCGCAGAGAGGCGGACGAAGGACTCTCTTGGAGAAGCACCTGCTGGCCCTGGCCCTGCTGCTGGGGGTGGCCTGTGTCGCTTTTCTCCTTCTGCTACTTCTGCGTCCTCCTCTATCAGGTAGGTCGCTCAGTCCTTCCTCCTTACCTTCCCATAACTGGGTGGTGACAACACCCGTGACTGTGTGGTGACAACACCCATGACTGTGTGGTGACAACACTCAGCACTGGGTGGTGACAACACCCGTGACTGTGTGGTGACAACACCCGTGACTGTGTGGTGACAACCGTGACTGTGTGGTGACAACACCCGTGACTGTGTGGGCACACACCATGACTGTGTGGTGACAACACTCATAACTGGGTGGTGACAACACCTGACTGTGTGGTGAGAACACCCATAAGTGTGTGGTGACAACACCCATGACTGGTGACAACACCCGTGACTGTGTGGTGACAACACCCGTGACTGTGTGGTGACAACACTCATAACTGGGTGGTGACAACACCCGTGACTGTGTGGTGAGAACACCATAACTGTGTGTGGTGACAACACCTGACTGTGGTGACAACACCCGTGACTGTGTGGTGACAACACTGTGACTGTGGTGACAACAACACCCATGACTGTGTGGTGACAACACTATAACTGGGTGGTGACAACACCCGTGACTGTGTGGTGACAACACCCGTGACTGTGTGGTGACAACACACATGACTGTGCGGTGACAACACCCATGACTGTGTGGTGACAACACACATGACTGTGGTGACAACACCCGTGACTGTGTGGTGACAACACCATAACTGTGTGGGTGACAACACCCATGACTGTGTGGTTACACACCGTGACTGTGTGGTAACACCCATAACTGTGGTGACAACACCCATAACTGGGTGGTGACAACACCCATAACTGGTGGTGACAACACCCATAACTGGGTGGTGACAACACCTATGATGTGGTGACAACATCTGTGACTGTGTGGTGACAACACCCGTGACTGAGACAACACCCGTGACTGTGTGGTGACAACACTGTGACTGTGTGGTGACAACACCCGTGACTGTGTGGTGACAACACCCATGGCTGTGTGGTGGCAACACCAATGACTGTGTGGTGACAACACCAATGACTGTGGTGCACAATATCGTGACTGTGGTGACAACACCAATGACTGTGTGGTGACAACACCAATGACTGGGTGGTGACAACACCAATGACTGGGTGGTGACAACACCAATGACTGTGTGGTGACAGCACCCATAACTGAGTGGTGACAGCACCAATGACTGGGTGGTGGCAAACCCAATGACTGTGTGGTGACAACACCAATGACTGTGGTGACAATATCCGTGACTGTGTGGTGACAACACCCATGACTGTGTGGTGACAACACCAATGACTGTGTGGTGACAGCACCCATAACTGAGTGGTGACAACACCAATGACTGTGTGGTGACAGCACCCATAACTGAGTGGTGACAGCACCCATGACTGTGTGGTGACAGCATCCGTTAATGTGTGGTGACAACACCCATAGCTAGGTGGTGACAGCATCCATAACTGAGTGGTGACAACACCAATGACTGGGTGGTAACACCACCAATGACTGGGTGGTGACAACACCAATGATTGGGTGGTGGCAACACCAATGACTGTGTGGTGACAGCACCAATGACTGGGTGGTAACACACAATGACTGGGTGGTGACAACACCAATGATTGGGTGGTGGCACAATGACTGTGTGGTGACAGCACCCATAACTAAGTGGTGACAGCACCAATGACTGTGTGGTGACAACACCCGTGACTGTGGTGACAACACCTGTAACTGTGTGGTGACAACACCCGTGACTGTGTTGTGACAACACCTGTAATTAAGTGGTGACAACACCCGTGGATGGCTGTCAGTGTAACCTTCGTCAGGTGAGTGGTGTTGTCCGCCGTCTCACTGTAGTAGGTGATCAGGAAGCTCCTCGGGGAAACAACGAAAATAATGTATGAAAAGAGAAACGTTCACCAGGACAAATTCCTCCTTTAAAATTTCACCGAGTTTTGGAAGACTCAACCTCAAGTCATGTAGGTCATTGGCTTTGAAATGTTGTAGTCTGCTGTAATAAGTTATTCCCTGGTACATAATCCTAAAATAATAATTAAGGATATCCAGAGTATTGCCGTCCAGCCGCCTGTATTGATTTTGTCACTTATGTACGAGCCTCAAGTTTTGGCTCACCTGAACATTAACCTCCCAGGTTAGTGACCTCATGATTAAACACCTTAACGCTACCTGGGGAGGGTTTATAATCATTAGGTTAGTGTTCGGGCGATTAATGTTAAAGTGAAACTAACTCGGGGCAAATCTCCAACTGAATCTGAGTTTAGGTCCATTTAAGTAGTCAGGTTAGGTTAAGTTTGGGTTAATGTAAGGTTAGATTATGTTCAAGTTAGGCTAAAGTTAGTTTATATTAATGTAAGGTTAAGGTTAGGTTAGGTTATATTCATGTGAGGCTGAAGTTAGGTTATGTTAATTTAAGTAAGGTTAGGTTAGGTTATGTTACTGTGACACTAAAGTTAGGTTAATGTAAGACTAAGGTTAGGTTAGGTTAATGTAAGGTTAAAGTAGGGTAGAGGTGGTTAGGTTAGGTTAACGTAAGGCTAAGGTTGGGTTAAAGTAAGCCTTAGGTTAGGTAAGGTTGGGTTAATGGAAGACTTAGATTAGGTTAGGATTGTTAGGCTAGGTTAATGTAAGGCTAAGCTTAGGTTAAAGTAAGCCTTAGGTTAGGTAAGGTTTGGTTAATGGAAGACTTAAATTAGGTTAAGATTAGGATTGTTAATCTTAAATTGAGATTCGCTGGCGAGGGCGGTGGGGGCGGGGTGCTAATTTTCATATGACCTCTAGTTAATGATTCACTAAGTGCCCGGCAGGAGGTTGCAGACATACCTAACCTAACCTGGAGACGCTAAAGTAGTTGTTGTTGACCAGTTACATATATTGACCTGTTACTTACATATATTGACCTGTTACTTACATCTATTGACCTGTTACTTACATATATTGACCTGTTACTTACATATATTGACTTGTTACTTACATATATTGACTTGTTACTTACATATATTGACCTGTTACTTATATATATTGACCTGTTACTTACATATATTGACCTGTTACTTACATATATTGACCTGTTACTTACATCTATTGACCTGTTACTTACATATATTGACTTGTTACTTACATATATTGACCTGTTACTTACATATATTGACCTATTACCCATATATTGACCTGTTACTTACATCTATTGACCTGTTACTTTCATATATTGACACATTACTTACATATGACTGTTTTACATATATTGACCTGTTACTTACTTATATTGACACATTACTTACTTATATTGACATTACTTACATATATTACCTATTATAATATATATTACTTACATATTGACCTGTTACTTACTTATATTGACCTGTTACTTACTATATTGACTTGTTACTTACATCTATTGACCTGTTACTTACATATATTGACCTGTTACTTACTTATATTGACCTGTTACTTAGTACTTATATTGACCTGTTACTTACATATATTGACCTGTTACTTAGTACTATATATTGACCTGTTACTTATATATTAACATGACGGGTGTTGGAGGAGAAAGTGTTGGAAGGAACAAGTGTGGGAGAGGTGGAAGTATGGGGGTGTTATAGGGAGGGAGGTGGGAGGAGGTTAGTGTGGGAGGAAGCAATAGGGAAGGAGGAATAATGGAGGAGATGTGGGAGGGAAGTGTTGTAGGGAGGGGTGTGGGAGGTATAAAGTGCGGCTGTGGGAGGGACTGTGTGGCTGTGGAAGGGGGACTGTGGCTGTGGGAGAAGGACTGTGGCTGGAGGGAGAGGACTGGCTCTGGGAGGAGGACTGTGGCTGTGGGGAGGAGGAGGACCGTGGCTGTGGGGAGGGAGGACCGTGGCTGTGGGAGGAGGACTGTGGCTGTGGGGAGGATGTGGCTGTGGGAGGACCGTGGCTGTGGGAGGGAGGACCGTGGCTGTGGGAGGACCGTGGCTGTGGGAGGAGGGACTGTGGCTGTGGGAGGTGTGGCTGTGGGAGGAGGACCGTGGCTGTGGGAGGAGGGACCGTGGCTGTGGGGAGGACCGTGGCTGTGGGAGGGGGAGGGACTGTGGCTGTGGGGAGGAGTGTGTGTGGGGAGGAGGGACTGTGGCTGTGGGAGGAGGACCGTGGCTGTGGGGAGGAGGACTGTGGCTGGGAGGAGTGTGGCTGTGGGGAGGGACTGTGGCTGTGGGGAGGGAGGACCGTGGCTGTGGGGAGGAGGACCGTGGCTGTGGGGAGAAGGACTGTTGCTGTGGGAGGGGAGGACCGTGGCTGTGGGGAGGAGGACCGTGGCTGGGAGGAGGACCGTGGCTGTGGGAGGAGGACCGTGGCTGTGGGAGGAGGGACCGTGGCTGTGGGGAGGGAGGCCGTGGCTGTGGGAGGAGGACCGTGGCTGTGGGAGGAGGACCGTGGCTGTGGGAGGAGGACCGTGGCTGTGGGAGGAGGACCGTGGCTGTGGGAGGAGGACTGTGGCTGTGGGGAGGAGGACCGTGGCTGTGGGAGGAGGACCAGTGTGGCTGTGGGAGAGAGACCGTGGCTGTGGGAGGAGGACTGTGGCTGTGGGGAGAGGACTGTGGCTGTGGGAGGAGGACCGTGTGTGGGAGGGACCGTGGCTGTGGAGGAGGACTGTTGGTGGGAGGAGGACTGTGGCTGTGGGGAGGTGGCTGTGGGAGGAGGACTTGGCTGTGGGAGGAGGACCGTGGCTGTGGGAGGAGGACCGTGGCTGTGGGAGGAGGACTGTGGCTGTGGGGGAGGAGTGTGCTGTGGGAGGAGGACTGGCTGTGGGAGGACCGTGGCTGGAGGGAGGACTGTGGCTGTGGGGGTGTGGCTGTGGGGAGAAGGACCGTGGCTGTGGGGAGGAGGACCGTGGCTGTGGGAGAGGGACCGTGGCTGTGGGGGAGAAGGACTGTGGCTGTGGGAGGAGGATGTGGCTGTGGGGAGGAGGACTGTGGCTGTGGGAGGAGGACCGTGGCTGTGGGAGGAGGGATGGCTGTGGGAG